TATATATATCATACATATGTCCACATACCTCGACGGGTTCGTCCTTGCTGGTTGACGTAAAGCGTACAATGTTGTCATCGCTGACTGTGGACCACATGCAGAACTGCCGTCGCCACTGCTCCACGGCCACCGAACTCGTGCACAACACAAGCACCGACTTCTTGATGGTACATGCGATAGTAACCCCCGTGAGTGTCTTGCCAGCTCCTGATTTGCCAATGATAATAGGTGTTTTATATAGGTAAGTGGCAAGAAATGGTCACCCTCGTAAGTACCATACAAGGCCTTGGAATTTTGAAAATGCCTATGTTGTGTACAGATAAGTAGCATACAATAGTCACTTCGAATGTACCATAAAACACCGATGACAAACACTCTAAACTCTGATATTGCACTTACCGCACGGCAGCACAATGATACCACTTCTCCCACGCCCATTTCCGAACATTTTGGCGAGCGACTTCTCCTGGTACGGACGCAATACTGTCTGTGGTTTGAGATCCATGTCCAGACTCTTGCTGGTGGTGTCATTTCTGAAGTCGTACTCTTCCAGAAGCGGCATGTCGATGGTGATACAGTGGCGCTTAACATCCTCAATCTGTGCATGGGGTTTGTGCAAGTAACACCAAAGTGAGTGCCGACACAGTCAGAGTGCACTGAAATGCCCGTAGTACCATGGTGATGGCGCCTAAACGTGAAAACAACAACAACAACCATAAACTTAATAGAATACCATATTGATTAGCAATCTAACGCGTGATCAGAACAATGGCACGTGTGCACATATACCTACCTTCTCTCGTTCCACCTCGAAGGAATGTACCACTGGGCCTGCTTTGTCCTCATCGACATCGCTGTCTACATCGTCATCGTCTCCTTCTGCTCTCTCCAAAAGATCTTTCAGTGCCAATTCCGGCTCCTCTTCAGTGCTGAAACAGGCCAGATGAACAAATGTGGTACGTATTTAATGCTAGTACTGACATTAGCCGGGAAACTCAATTATGATATGATATTAGCATACCATCACTATGATAGTTGAACTACACACACATTACACATAGGACGCACAAGCCAAGCCGGGAGCCGACATCAGAAGTAGTCGGACACAGCAACACGCACATACTCCTTCTTGCCATCTTTGCTCATTCCGGCAACTTCGTAGTCCAATTTAGGCGCTGTGCTTGCGACTAGCTCCGAGTCTACAGGGGAACAGTTGAAACCACAAGTAAGCTTCACGTTTGCTCGGAGGACAAGCGAGACGGGACAGCACTTGGACGTAAAAACTGCCCGTGAGTGTGTAGAATTAAAGCCACACAGCTGGTTGGATATGTGATGCGTGCATGGGACCGAGTCTGATGACATGTGAATAAGCATGTTCAAGTGAATTTTCTTGGTTGTTGAGGAGCCATTGCTGGGTAGTGGGACGGTAATGTGCAAGTGTGGATCAACTGCAAGGTATATTGTATTTAGGATGTGTACAGAATTAAGATGTGATCGTACATAACACTTCTTGATCCCAAGACTGGAAGACAATTAATACAAAAGCAGCTCGATGATTGGTCATGCAATTGTAGCTGGATAACCTAATGTATATCTACAAATAGCCGAATAACGAACTGTGTACACTTAATTGGTTCATGTTCAGCGAATATTTGCCCATATCGATCCAATCTCATGCCAGACTACAGTCTGTCGGTGTGGAATTGGTATGTCACGGTGAAGATGATCACCAATCTGTCTTGCGATGTCAAGGAATGATTAAGAGAATAAATCTCGGGGTTCGGAGTATTGCCACTACGTTACGATCGCGGTGTGATCTCCAGAGTACGATGGGATGCAAAGGTATCTCACGCCTGTCATCACTACTGACATTGCCACATTAAAATATGTGCAACATGATACAACGCCCATTGTCAGTTGGCATCAGCACATGTCTAAGGCTAACACTCCCACGTATTAAATAACACCCGTCATAAGTGTCCTATACTATGCTTGCGTCGTATCGAAATGAAATACTTACTAGCCGCCCTAGCTCCGGCAATGACCGGGTCGCGCAGCAGCTTCTGCAGAATTGCTGGGTGGGGGCTTTCTATGAAGTATCGATTCGTTTTCAACACTAACTTCACTTTGCCGATGTTACCTGCGTTGATAGACGTGTGTGAAAATCGCAAACGAACCCTACTTGAACACAGTGTGTGCAGGGCACATGTGAATATAAGATACGATTATGAGCTTGACTTCGTGATATCTGTTCGGTCCAACACCAACCCAAAATGGCTTTGCTACCTATTTCAATGTTAACCATAAAAAGTTAACACTACCGCTTTCCCGCAATCGCTCACATCGTCATTCACAACTATACGATACTAGATCATTGGTATAAGTGGTGGATAGTAGGTCAAAGCAACCCCGCAAACCAGTGAATATGTGACAGCTGATGTCTGTCTAACATTATGGTTTCCCAAAGAACTAACATATACATTCACGATTGTGAATTAGAGCCGTCCGTTCTCGTTCAAGAGGTGACAAGCGTTGACTGATTGGCGTAACGACCTGAGGTGAAAATAATGTATACCATATAATTGGTTGCACTGGCATATTGTACACAAATGCAGTGCTTTGGGTAGAACAGCCACAAACAATTATACGCAGCCAACAACATCTAGGTCGTGCAAAGTCTGAGCTGTAACAGTATTCGCATTTGAATAACACGCACCTGTGAAACTGAGGATGTTCTGTCTCACCGCCTCAGGCACGCCATTCTGCACAAGAACATCGAAAAACGGGAGTTAGTGATTGTTTGCTCCGTATGTGTACAATCGAGTGGAGCTGCTAGGTGCGGCAAGCTACAACGTATGCTTGATGCGTCTCAATACAACGTAACAAAGAGAACGAATAGAAAATGCTTCGAGCACTATTCACAATAAACCGAATTCTGCATGGTGTATAGCCAAGAGTGTGGTAGATGTGATGTATACCTTCATTGCACACCGAATAAAGTCGCTACCGCAACATCGTCCCAAAAAGACACAACCACACGACTGAATATATACACGTGATAGTCAACATACCTTTGACAACCGCCCCAGCACTCGCAGTATATCGTCAGCACTCACACCCACACTAACCGCGGCGTACAGCGAATAGGGTGTGAGCTTGTACTCGTGCACCAGTCTGGGACGACACTCGGGTTCAGCAATGGAGATCAGGAAATCGTACGCCGTCAAATACATGCGTTTGTCTCCGTAGGTCTCCAGGAAAATGTGGCTATCGGGAGAAAGCCAAATCTGTGTCAAAGTGCGACAATTTATGGTCAAGAAGAAATGAAAAAAACAATCAAGGTGATACAGTAGGCTTGCCCTGTAAGCAGCATGAGATATCAGGTTCGCAGGTAGTGGCTGCTCGATGACCAACTCGATCCTAACCGAATGTCGACGGTGGTAGAGTACTACGTATAGTGAAAGAATGGAACCAATAAAGTAATTCCGAGTATGTGCACGAACAAATTCAAAGCGGGACGAACAATGCAATCAGAAGGGGGGTTTCCAACCCTATACCGTTCGAGCACAAGATTCATTGATTACTGGGCCAAATAACTTCGCAAGACAACAGAACTCTCATTACAGTCACTGACCAATGATACGGACGTAAATAGCGAGTTTGTGAGTGGCCATATGCTGAATGCACACGACATATGAGTATGGTGGCTAACTAGGTACATATACACACATATCTAGACTGCCTCTCATCTGACATGTACCACTAGCAACTTGCTTAGCATCCACACTGGAAGTATATGAGCCAATCCTCCTACCCAACACGTGTGTAAATGAACTTGTGGACAAATGTAATGCGATGAACATCTGCAATTATACCATTCAGACACGAGAATACCGGTCGCATACTAGTGTCCTCATATTCTAGAGGTTACAAAGGTCATGCTGTCAATAGATCCTTGCCGGGTAGCCAATATCTGCATGCATACACTGATGACCCATAGAACCCTCCCATTGGCACCGTCAACTTGCTCTTATTTGCATGTCAATACCTTGCTAACCCTGCATTGTCCATGTGGCCGTGCTCGTGACGCACCCGTACAACGGAATAAGAACTCGGCACAATTACACCTAACAGTCGAAGACGCTTACCGGTCGCATGTTATTGTCCTTCGAAACTGGCATATTGCCGTAGTCGTGTTCTTGGAAGAACTTCTGAGTCAGGTCGTCGTTGACCGCCAGATCCGTCAGGCGCTGCTCAGTAAACCCTGTGCGTGCACCTGCGTACAGCTCTCCCTCGACGTCGGGCATGTCTAGGCAGCCCCAAACCAAACCATACACGAAAGACAATGGCAGAGGTTTAGTTCAGTGGGCCTTTTCAGTGGATAAAATAACTGGTATACCCTGGGGTACTGGGAGCGAGGTTTTGTGTGCGTAAGCCATAGATTTGAGTGTGCAGTGGTAGGTAAGTACCTTTGACTACAATGACAGGCGCTATGAGATAGGCCTATAAATATAAATCTGGCCCTATTTGTAGACCCACACGCTTGTTATTTGGGTTAGCGTGTGTGGGCATAGACTCGGCTACATGTCTTGGAATAGCGCTTTGCCTGGCCAAGCCAACTGCTAACGTCAAATTGTTCCACTCAAACGGTATTGAATAAGTGCATACAACAAGTTTTGTAAATAGGAAAAGTTTTTCGAAATAAAAAGAAATATACGGTAAATCGGGACGCGACGTGTGATGGAAGCATTATCTTCTAAGTGCAATTGCATAGAGTTTATCGAGGGATAGATATATGTACGTATACAAGTGTGCTGAGCATCTGTACTCAAATCGGCTAGGTCAAGTATTCGAACTTAGGTTTATCAAGCTGCAGAATGCTCGGTGCTTAGATAGAAAAGGCACATTGCGCAACAACTGATTTGTTGAAACACGACAGGCCGACTACATGGATTAATCGACAATATTGTACATTGTGCTATATGTAAACTTATCACGAAACAATATTATATATAGTGTTACATCTATGGAAGATTGAAGTAGCGTACACAATTAATCGAGAATAGCTTTGCGAGTAAGGAAAGGACTCCTATTGTGAGTGTTTAACATAAAGGTTGCCTGTGTCTAGCCAAAATAGATGGTAGCTGTGTAGTCCTAACGCAACAAAGTTAGTAGATGAGAGATAAAAAATTGAACATGTGTACATCCACTGTGTACAAACAAGGGAGTGTTCTATACAGCTAATAGACCTCCACAGACATCTATAGATACAAAGTGAATCATCTATAAATACATTGTGTATGTATATATACCAAAGAATAAGCTTGGAAATAGATTGTCCTTTATTGCCAATAATATATACCTTCATAGTCAATTTCATCTTCCGAGGCATCATCCACTTCGTCAATTGGGCGCTTGCCACCCATGGTAGCCTTTATATGTTTCGCCATGCCCTGTGGATCTGTACGTATAGTACTCAATACTCACTCACAGTTGCGCTAACCTCGGCAGTCAATGAACGATCCTTTATTTTTTAGCAACAAGGGTTATACTATATGAGGAACAAATGAGAAAGTCGCGACGTACACAGGTGCACTAAGTGAAGGAGAAAACAGCACCACAAGTCTATCTCACTAGTTACTATCGTGAACGTAATTGCTGCCTGCTTTGGTTTACTCGTGCACGAACTATCTGCACCTGTTTGATTTGAAACAAGTATCGTTCTGACATACGTATTGGTGGAGTGGTTTAGTTTTCAACCTTTGAACAAAATATTGATACATTGTATTTATCAGAAATAGGAATATCCGCTGTGGAATCATCATTTTTTCGTGTCGAGGACTTGTTGCGCGTCAGATATTTATGTTGTGCAAGATCTGAAGTCTTATTTACGTACGCAACTGACTTGTTGATGGCTTCTTCATACACGGATTACAAATCGTGTACACAGTGTGCTACTGCTGACGACCCAGCCGGATGCAACTCATGTTAACTTATGAATGTTCAAGACATATTGGCGTTCGAAGGATTACTTGGCGTCATATAGAGGAGTAGTCACTACAATAAGGCTGCTGACAGGTCAATTGAATGCACGTGGTCGTGGCATATGAACGCATTCAAACCGTATTGGCACGCTCTTGGCACTCGAGATAGCTATTCAATTCAAGTGTATCGAATTCAAATTACAGGTTCAATCAATTTTTAGTCGTATATAATAGTTTCTGTATATTCGTAATTGGTGTTTATCTGGTGCGACGCTTCCGTATGTGCCACGTGTAGCTCTGTGACGTGAGGGATCTGATAGAACCTGTCTGAATACACTGCTTGAATACACCGCCATACTCAGCAGTCCCATCGTATTATCATACTATGAACGCTCGGTGTTAGAATGGTTATGCATAGTACACTCTACACGCTCTTACAGTCTGATACTGTCAATCAAGCACCAGAAAAGCTTCTTATATCGATTTGGATATCGTCTTCCTATCATCTTCTGTCTTGCTGACTCACTAATTTCGATCTGCTGTTTTAAATGGTCGTTTAGCACTGCTCAGCCGGATATGTACTATATGCATCGTGTACATTATGTGTACCTCGAACTTCACGCATTCGCGAATTCAAGAACATATGACCGTAGTGGTCGTTCCGAGCTGTTGAGGTTGTCCTTACTTGGATCAGACACCCCACCTTCTGCACTAATGGTCGCCAGTTGCTCATACTATTTAGCCCGAGTCTACACCACACAACAATGGGTGTGGATTGTAAACGGATATGCACTGTATATTCGCTTTCTATCAATGAAATATACAGCGGACGATTTGCTATTTATCTGTTAATAGGCAACCATCGGGTTCGTTCATCCGTGTCTAGTTTAAACACCCCATCCTCTGCACCAACACTTAAATCTTAGAATCAGTGTCATCTACGACAGCTATTAATCTTATACAGCCAGGTTTACAAGGCATATACAAAGATATGCGTATTCAGATGTTTGTATTCTATCATGAAATGCACGGCGCACAATCGAGCTATTTATTAGAAAGCAGCCATCGAGCTAGATCATCCTTGTCTAGCTTCAAACACCCCACTTTCTGCACCAACACATACGTCTTGATAGGCGGTGTCATCTGTGCCAGATGCGAGCGCACGGCCTCCAACAGTACTTGACCACTTTGCCCCACCACGATACGCTTCAGACTGGGACGCTTGCTAAGTTTAACTGGTCCAATTAGAGCCGCATCCTTCTGTTCAACAGCATCCTGTTCGTCTCTGTCTTGAGTTTGCTCCCGATGACTCCCTTTCTTTTCTACTTTCGTGTGCATTCCATGTCGTGTATACATACCACCAGCATTCCGTACAAACTCCGCCGTCCTCTGTTCCTGCTGTAGCTTTGCCATTAAACGTCGCACCGCAGCATTGGCCATATTCACATTGTGGTGGTGTAGGTCTAATTCTCCCTTCTCGGTGAGCTTGGCCCACCCCATCTGCACCTCAGGCACCGCTCGTGTCATACTGTCGTACAAAGTGTCCACTAGCGCTGTCGTACCACCGCACCGTACTATACACTCAATCAGCACGCCATAGGTGCTCTTGTCCCGTGCGACACCTGCGCGTTCCATCTCTTTGAATAGTTCTAGAGCCCTCTCCAACTTATCAGCGGACGCACACGCAGTTATAGCGCAATTGTAAGTATAAGTGTTGGGATTTACACCTCTGTCGTGCATCTCTTTCAGTAAGCACACGGCTGTCTCCCACTCGCCCTCCTGTTGGCAGACAGAAATCGCGCTCGTATATGAATAAACATCTGGTTGAAGACCTTGTTCGACCATTGCGCGTAGTAATCCCAAAGCCTCACTGGTACCACCACCCCACCTGCACAAAGAAATAACAGAGTTGTACGTATACCGGCTATACGCCACCTGTGCCTCCTCCATACTCCTCAGCACAGACATGGCCTCGGGCCATCGCCTATGTTTGTCACACAACGTGAGCACGTTGTTGTACACGCCCGTGTCCAGCACCACGCCATCGGTTGGACCCATTCGTACAAGGTCCAAGGCTTTCTCCAGATTGTTAGTTCTAGTATATGCCTTTAACACAATACCGTAGGAGGTTACATTGGGCCCGATACTATTGCATGATGCATGGGACTCGCCTTGCACAGCCTGTCCACGTCTTCTCATATCGTCGAACAACTTCTGCGTTGTCTCCCATTGCCCAACACTATTGCACGTCTCCATAACGTTATTGTACGTAGCCGTATCATAGTCAACACCCATCTGTGGCATTTCCATGAAGATCTCCAGCGCCTCAGCATAACGTTCCTGTGGTAAACATGCAGCGATCGCCATATTGTAAGTGCGCGTGCTTGGTTTTATTACAATACTGTGCATCTCGCGCAGATACTCAAGCGCCATGTCCCATCGCCCGTGTACTTTAATCGCGTGCATGACACCATGGTATGAAGTATCGTCTGGGTCTACACCGAGACGCGCCATTGATCGGAGCATGTGGATACACGCTTGGAACTTCCCCCCATTCCCACACGCTGCCAGAACTAAGTTATAAGACTCTTTATTGGGTGTCAACCCAAGCCTATCCATATCATTCAGAATTCTCTTGGCCATATTGGGCTTTCGATCAGTCCCGCACGCCTTGAGTACGTAATTATAGTCCGCAACATCAATTTGGATACCGGCTTGTTTTTGCATTTCAAGTAGGAGCCTTTGTCCAGCCACTGACGCCTCACACTTGTCCACCCGGACTTTGCTACACGCCTGCAGACCTCGAGTGAAGATATCTCTATTCTTTGATATTTTCGACCTATTCATATCTTTTAGTAACGTTAGCAGCATTTCCCAGCCACCATGCGCACTAGCCTGTTTGCTGACAATCTCGTATGTTTTGAAGTTACGGATAACTCTCTTATCGACCATCTCGTGGAATAGTCTCTGTACGTCGCTAAATAACCCAAGTTCTCCAGCTTTACTCAGTGCTTTATTGTAAGCAACGGTATCGGGTGTAGATCCAGACATCAGAGTGAATCTGAGAGCGCTTTCTGCAGTTGCCCATTTTTTTGCAGTAGATGCACGCGAGTCACTATCCGGATCTATTTGAAACTTTGAAACTACACCAATGTCAGGTGCTGTCGAGGCTTGACTTCGAACTTCTGCGTCGGTTTCTTCTGCCTGCGAATCATTATTAGAGTAACCTTTGATATAAGAATGGACAATGGAGTTACTCAAATGATCTGGGGGGCTCCCATTCTGAATGAGTACCTGATATTGTGTGCTTGCTTGTGTGAAAGCTCGTTTATTTACGTATACTTGTGTTGAAGCTTGCTTATATGTGTATGCTTGTGACGATTCATATACGCATGGTATAATTCGTACACGATTGAAGCCCTTACTAGCTGATACAACTTGTCGCCTTTGTGTGTGTTGAGGTACACGTGCTTGAACGTAACCCATCCAGGAAATTGTAGTCATATACTGCTGTCTGGTATTCGTACGAAACCCAGATCGTAATAAATTGCTATATGTTACCATGACGAACAGCTACACGGGAGGCCTCACTGTGTAAAGTATATACAGTACTGCATCTGGCCTTTAACTGTGTGCGTAGCCTAAGGCGTTACCCTTATGGACAACGAACTTGATAAAGCGAGAGGGACGGTCGAGTGTATAATTAGGACATTAATAGCTTGTTGATTCATTCAATTTTTGTACAAATTCATCCCTATCGCCAGCAGCATACTTACATATCATGGTTTGAATTGAAATGGCAAGTGATATGAAGAGACTGACATCTCTTCTTCTCCCTTCACACACACAAATGACAAGTCCCTCTCACTTGTGTATTCTGTGATTTTAGGACACTATATTATAGCCGTAAGGTCATTTCCTTATTTCATACCTAGCCTCCAAGGCCCAAGCGGCTGCCCCCCAGGGCCCCGTGGACCGTGGTGATTTCTTTGCTTCATGGGTTTCTATAATACATTTGATTGACCAAAGTATTAATAGGAGTAGCCTCTTGTAGAGGTATCCAATAAGAATGTCTTTCTGTTGGTCGTGGAGACCTGTATTTTTATTTATTTATTTATTACAAAATACGAGGCTACTATGGTCTCAATGATGCTATATATAAATATA